ATCTCCTTTTATATGAGAAATGATAGATTGCAACAATCTGAGAGAAGCATGTGCTTTCTTCCTTTGTCATCATGAATACATGAGCTAGTTGAAATCCATATGAACTTTTAGATTGTATTTTGATACGAGCTAAGTGGCTGGTATAAGCATGTTAGTTATGCTTTATGCTAAGTTGTGTTTCATGTTTCTCTCTTTTCCTTCGGAAATACAAAGTTTTATGCTTTCATGCAGGTGCTACCAATAAGCCACAAGAACTGGATGATGCAGTTCTCAGGAGATTGGTACATAATATGGAATTTATTTTATATATTCTGATTTGACCTCTTGCACCCTTCCATAAGTATCTTCGTTTCAAAATGAAAAGGGGAAAAAGAATTAAAAATGTTAAGTTTCGAGTAATATGGTATCCTGTGGTTGTCTATAGTCTTAATTCAGTTTGTGCCAATTGGAGACTGTTTTGGTAACTTCTTTGGCTTTTTGAGTGTCTAATTTGTATATTTCATTGTTTCAATGACATAACTCTTAGTTCCCGGTCTTTTAATAGAAAAGAGAAGTTATATGGCATTCTGGATATTGATCTTTTATGTCGTGCAAGTTGATCCAGTAGGAAATACTTGGGGTGATATGAATGCTTCCAAAGTAAATGGCCCGCCTTTTGACTTTAGCCATATGAAGCATTCTATGGAGTACTTCTCCTTATGTAGCAATTGTAACTACTTCATGTGTAAACTTTTAGGTGCCACTTTCATTTGTTATTTTGCCAAGAGATTTTTTACCATCCCCAAGTGCGTATCCATTTTTCTAATAAGCTGCCCCAAAGTTGGGATTAATGGTCAAAATGCCTTTGAAATCAAGGTTTTGAGATCACAGATGGGTTACGTAACTATTTAAGTTAATGGATCATAATATAGTTCGTACTCGATTTCAAATACTGAATAGATGGAACGGTTCGAGTTTAGTTCTACAGAAATCATTATTATACACTGCTTGAAGCACCCATTTGAAGATGAGCATAAAAAATGTCAATATGGAAATGCTCTCTCTCTTTCTCTCTCACACACACTCATGATATCTGCATAGTGTGGTGTGTGAAACATTGTTGAGATACATTAGCCAGATGTTCCTTTCTGTAATTTACTTCACTAAAAGCTTTCTATGTATTTTTAGATCTGAACTGATT